GCTCTCTGTGTACGATCCTCTCGACGTACAGCGAACATTACTGGAACTTCCTCGGCGTGGCTTAACAGTACCTGGAGTGGCCGATTCCAGCGGGTAGCGTCGTCCTCCACCGCGTAATCCGGTTGCTCGTTCCTCGATGTTCCAAGCGAACCCACGGGACGAGCATTGCAGCAATGGTTTATAAAAACATCCTCTTAAGAATCTTGAGTGACGAGCGAGACACTCGAGTCAGAAAACAGATCTCTTTCAAGAGTTTCTGTGACACTTCAATAGAAATCTGTTTGGCCTCTAATTAGGACACTCTTATGGGGACGTAATAGGAATCGAAAGATTTTCATCGAGTGGCATTAGGAATCAGTCTTGTTCAGTCCTTATTCAACAATCTATCCCTGTCGCATAAGAACACCGTTTAAAGAGTACTTTTCTTATCACGTCAATTTTCCATTGCGATAAAAAGGGTTCGTCGGACCGTTCGTCAATTGGTCGTAATTTCTCGTCGGCGATTTTCTTTTCACGCGTTAACTCCGAAAATAGAATCGTATTAGGGTAGACGGAGGCGCGAGGGTGCTAGCTCGGTCAAGGCTCCGTTTATTTACATCGTGCAAAGGACATCGCGTTCACATCGTGGAGGCGGCTAGGTATTGTGCTGCCTACGTTGGTGCCCAACTCCCTCGGCAACAAATTACTTTCACTTTGGCATCGGTAATAATGGTACGTCTGCCAGCGTGTAACGTAGTATTCTGGCTCGAAATCGTTCTGCCAGTGTCCGCGTAGTACAAATGAAATGTTTCGGATCGTCAGAAAGTTAGAATTCTCAATGATTTGGGAATCTCACAAAAAATGTATTTCTGTCATCTGATTTATTAAAAAAGTACAATAATATAAATAGAACATCTTTCGATCGATAATTAGAAATCACATTTTATAAATGACTCGAGGCGCAGTCATACGGTAGCGCAGTGATCCTTCGGCAGGATCGCAAAATCCTTTGAGACGCGGTGTACGCGTCAGATGCAAGTATCCACGAGAGGTACACTTCCGTGCAAATGTGTGTCACGAGTTTCCCACGAGATGAACCGGCGAATGGCAACATAGGCGCGGGCATAGACCAATTACCAACGTGCACTCTCATTGACTTGGCGATTTACGCGCGCGATCGATAGATCCCGGCGAAAACGCGTTCACTATTGAAACCGCGACGCCGACAGGTGCGTTGTTCTCCTTATACAATGGATTAAAAAAAATTAGTTGCCGTGGATGTAATGTAATTAACACTCCTTCGCGTATGAAAAGAGTTGTGTTAAACGTGATCGTAATTGTGCTGAGAGATAATTATTTGTGGAGTAACGAAGTGAATGAAAAGTGTTGTCAAGTAGACAAATGGAAATATCGATATCGAGATGTGTTAATGCACGATTCTGAGAACGCTATCGGTATTTATAGACCAGAGGTACATTCCCATAGCAATCGGATTAAAGTATGTCATCCTTTCATCGTTGAAGACTAATTACAGTCTCTTAAATCGACAGATGGCAAAGCATGGCTTTGTTATGCTCACTCGTTTACTTTCACCTGACAGACGTTTTTGCGAACGCTGGGTTAATTCAAAAGCAGGTGACTCCTCCGATCGCTTATCTCTCATATCTTAAACTCATCTCCAATACTACTTAATCATTCTTTATTGGAAATTGTCTATCGACTGTTCTCTGGAATTAGTATTAGTTCACAGAAACAAGTTTGAAACCTTCCATTTCTTAATATCTAGATCTATCTTAATATCTAGATATATCTTCTAAAAATTCTAGTTATTCATTAATCAAGTTTCCCTGGCACTTGCCTGTTCTGATATCTCGAATAAACCCGCGCGTGTCGAGAAGCCAGGCATCGTCGATATTCGTTCGGTTCAACTCGCGCCAACCGGTTCCGGAACGTAGCTCAATTTCATCCAACAGTGAACACGTCGGGGTTAAGAACGGGGAAAAATGGTGGATGCTTTTATTGCAACCCGTCCACGGGAATCGTAATTTGTCAGGGTCACGAAAGAAGCTGCAGGTTTCGAGGCCAAGAAAATCGGGCGCGGGAGGCTGGCCTCGTTGCGGAAGAAACGAGCATGATTACACGTACTTACTATGATCCATAGTGTTCACGGTGGCTCCTTTGCACGGTTTATCGTCGAATAGCCGTGGGTTTATTTTCATGCTTCGTTGGAATCTGTGTCATTCGACGATTCAATCGAATTGCGATTAAAAATCGAAGGAACGATTGAACAGATCTTATGAATAATTTATTTATTACTAACATTGAGTAATAAATATTCTTTTGTTACGTTATGTCAGGGCGCATTCAAAATAATTGATGAGAACGATTAATCTCATAGGCTGATTAAGAAAAGTTCGTACAGCGGTATGCGTGTTAATTGTCCGGGATTGCGGTTTAGAACAAGTTATGGTTTCATACCGCAACATAGCGGTTTTCTTCTATCAGTACTTTAATAAAGAACATGGTTATTCTTCAAGGAAACGTACATTATTCCGTTCAATCAAGCAGTTAGGAAGTAATAACAATAAAAATGATCAGATCAGTGGATACAGAAAAAAGCATCTTTAATACAATAACAGAGTAATTACTCCCCTATTGTGTAACGGAACGATCCAACAAGTTACCACTAATTATCGGACGCAAAGATCTCGTTAGCCAATTAAAAAATAGCCTTTGTCGGACGTCGGTTGGTACGTGATCCTACAAGGGTAACGCAAATCGATCTTCCGTGGGTTCGATATGCGTTACTCTTGTACGATCACGTAGCAACATAGATACATTAAGGCGCTTAGGAGGCGTGTGCGATGCTTATTAACAGTGTTCACGTTCCCGCGTCGATCATCAGGATCGATAGGATCGAGGTGAAGAGGGCAGATTCGCGATGATCGACGACGACCCCGCCGCGATCTTCAAATCGTCTGGCCCCTTGCAATTGATCGACGATCCGTTTCGCGATCGATTCAGGACGCTACTGATTTTGATCGAAGGCAATCGCAGTTTTATTCGATTAGAACTTAACTCACAGATTTTGCCAAGGGATAAATGTTGAGATAAACAAATTGAAAAAATCCTGACTATTAAATAATTAATTCTCGACTTTGAATCACGCGTTCGTTCTTTGCTCCATTGAATTGCTCAAGTGGACAAGCAGGCAAATCGTGAAGCGGTTCCATTCGCGGTAACCACCCGCGCCCACGAGGAAAGAAGGCGACGATTACGCGAGGGGCTAAATGGAATTACGGTTCGTTTCGCGGGACAACGAGCGAGCGGACGAACGAGAACGTCGGCGAGATGCAACGGTACACGTTGCCGTATTCCCACGGTGAATCGCGACGCGAAGCGAAACTGCGCCTAGGAAACCGCGTCGAGGAAACACGCCTCGGCGTGGATAATCGTCCACGTAATCCCGTACGGTTCGAATCCTAGTGCGGTTCCAGCGTGAAATCGACCGATCGTTGAGCGCACCAACTGTCAGGGTCGTCGTGCGCCATCCGCTGGAATTGAATCGTCGCACAGCGGGACACCCGCGGTGGTCGCCGACGACGACGATGATGATGATGACACCGGAGCACCGTCTCGTTCGGTTGAAACTTCTCTGACAAATTGTTCCCTCGTTCAACACGACGCAGCTCTTGATTATGAACAATTAGCTGGCGATGAAATTATTAATTCGATGTAGATAGACAAATAATTAGATCAAATCTCGTTCGCGGGTATCTGCTGTAACTTATTACGAAACTAGAGCTTCGACGTCTCTCTCGAGACTTCCAATTACGACCAATTACCCGCGGAAGCTTCATCCTCGAAACTCTCAATTGCTCTCAATCTCGCTCTCGGAATTTCGCTAAAGCGGTTCAACAAACCGGCGTACTTCATTCACAAAAACTATTAAAAACGAAACGCGAACCTTTTCAATGGTTCTCTTTCGAGAAAAATGTTTCCCAGTTCTCTTTTCTTTTTTTTTACCGAAAAACCGACTCGTTTAAGTTACACGTAAGAGTAATTTCTTAACCGCAGAACAAAAACGCGAAAAGGCGAAGAAATGAGGAGATCATTGAAAGGGTTGCACGCGATCGATCGGCGACGATTACTCGCGCGATTCTCTTTGATTCGTGGAAACGTCGCGCTATGAGGTAACGGTATACATCGAAGAAAAAGAACGCAAGGGTGACGAATGGATTAGAAATTACAATCGCAACGGACTGGTTCTAATAATAAGCACGGCCACCGTAGCTGGACCGTGAGAAAACCGGCGTTCGTTCGGTACGTTATTTTTGCTGGTGATCCATGGATCGTGATCGCCTTGGCTGATCGAGAGACGCGGTTTCGGTTCGTTAGCGGATTTCAATCGCGGCTTGAATTAATACCGGCGCGACTTCTTGCTGTTCCGTGGGATTTTTCTACCGTCACCGGGGACTGATTAAGTCCCATCTATGAGTTATGTCGGTACAGGAAATCAGCTCTTAAAATGGCGAGGTTTAGAAGGTGTCTCAGGACTGTTTTGGAAAACTGGTTTCAAACAGCATTTCTACGAGGCTAGAGAAATTATAATAAATTTGTTTTTAAATGACGTTCTGGCTCGAAAATCACGACACGTTTCAGAGACATTCAGTGACAAAACGAATGATAACAATTTTGGAATGTATGGACGAACCAGAAAGTAGGCAACGTTCGTTTTTGTGTGGGAAAATTTGCTCTCTCGTGTATGACGGAAACAACGGAAGCCCGCAAAAGTCAAGGAGTGGTGGACGCTTCCTGTTGTCGGTGATTGTTAACGGCGCTTTTCGGCGCGCATCCGCCTGCGGAGAAAGCGTATCGTCCGATACTCCTTGCGTCCCGGGTCCGCTTCCGTTGCAGAAGCGTGCGGTTTCCGGTGCGTGGCGCACGTATGATATATCGAACGCGATACACACCGGCTGCTCGGGCTCGGTGCGCATATCGATACTCAGTCAGAACTGAGCTGTCGCTCGTGACGGTCGTGATCCAAGACTGTTTCGTGGCTTTTCGATTTCCATTTCAATTTTTTTTTCAATTGGTTGTAATTATTAGTCAAATTGTGTGACCATTCCTTATTGAGAACTTCTGCTTTTATTGGCAAAGAATGGTTTTTTTTTTTGCAACAATTTATCTTGTGACACTTTCCGTTTATAAATATTAGTGACCTACGTATTTATCTCAGTTGGATACATTTTCTTTTTCTACATGATTGCAAGTGACAGTTAAATACGAGCGAGGAATTAGTTCACGATTAATTGGATTTAAAAAATCGTTTAATAGTTCACGAATGTGCGACATGTGTTGGAAGTCACATGATATCATAGTGATGTGACATTAATTAAAATGTAATTGTGTTATCGCGCAATTAACTCGTATCGTCATAAATTTTTGTTGCTGATTAGTTGCACTATGAACGAAATAGATAAAACGGTATCTCGGATTTCTTAGAATTTTCAGTACTCTTGAACTGTTCGCGATACATTGTTGCTAATCGGTTCTAGACGGTTTTATCTCTTCTTTCTATAATTGTATGCGGACAATGAATTATAGATTAAATAATCAATTGAAAAATTCCTGACGACACAACATTAATAAAATAGAAAAGAATTTTGCTTAACAATTTACGCAGTATAAATAAAATTAAAATAAAGATAAGAATATATAAGCTATAATTGCTAAGAGTCATTAGTGAAAGTCTAAAATTCACGCGGAATCTGGAGAGAACCGATCGAGCTACAGCTTCGTATGGATCATCGGGAATGGCTGCGTTTCCGGTCACCGGGTGGGAATATCCTGAGCGCGGCCTGGGAATATCCTGGCAGAACTCCCGCATTACGGACCGGAGAGTCCGAGTTATGAAATACCGAAGTGGAAACGCTCGAGTTGCCACGAGAGGTGGTTTTGCATTTCAGTTTCTCGATCGAATTCCATCTATCCCCCCCCCCCCTTGCCACCTCCTTCCACGCTTCTCGTTCCCTCGGCTCGCTTTTGTCTCGTACGAAGCGGCTACCACCGACCGAGGAATTTTCCGGTCGCCATATCGCTTTCCTCCGACAAGTTTCCACGGATAGTTCTATATAAATATGTATAGGTAAAAGTCGAAGAGAGTAGTAGGTCAAGTGACTGAAAGGAATTTTCATTGGGAAATCGTGTAATTCGATTTAGATTCTTTGAATATTCATTGACCTATGATCTCTTCTATTCTTTATTGTATTGTTAGTACATTGTTCTCCATTATGAAATTCGAAATCTGATCGAATGAGACAATCGATTAACGTGTGGTATTTCGTATTATTGTTACAGCACCGAGATCATCAAGTGCAGGCACCAACAATCTGCCCCCGTTGACGTTCCACCAAGTTCATGGTGAGAACATCAGACTCCTCAATGGCGGGACCATTGCCAGAAGATACGAAAGCTTCTGCAGGGGTATTACCTTCAGCGCTCGACCTGTCCGAGTCGGAGAAAAGGTAAGATTTCATAAAATTCATGAATCCTAAAAATATTCATTTGTTCAATGAATTTCGAGAATCGTTCGTAATCATAAAGATAAACATTTTCCTGAGGAAGTTCCTAATTCTTAAATTCGTAGAATTCACGGTCGCAGAATCGATAGTAGAAACGCGCAATAATAACCTGTCGAAGCTGATGGAGTTAATTGATTCGAGCCGGAGAGTCGTGTTTCCCCACGGTGGAGAACACCCGTTTTTCCCGCGCGTTTCCTCGTTCCCTATCGGTAAATCGTATACGGCAGGCCTCCGGTTAATTGTGAGAATCGGGTGACTCGTTCCGCTCGACGGCTCCCGTCGTTTGCATTTTATACGCGCCCCGTCTGACGAATCGACGCGACCCTGAAGACCGAGCGTACTTTACGTGGGCTGCCGAACGAAAAAGTCCCGTCCACACTTACGGTTCTCCTCAGCTGATCCGCGTCCGTGGAATGGAAGCGCGTGGCAACGAGCGTGCGTTACTTACGGTTCTCCTTTCATTCTTCGCTCGTCTCCACCGCGAGAAAGATTGGCAAACAGCGTGGGCGAGTCACTCATTTCACTATAAACGCCTTGGAATTTTCGTAGATCTCAACAGCCGATTGCTCGAAACTTTAGAGACTCTCTTTCTTGCATCGTTCGTATAAAATATAAGTTTTTACTCCGAGAAATAATTAGGTCTCATTTTCTCATTGTAATCTATGATTTATGCAGGAATTTTTATTTCACACGTACATTTATTACCGAGCTTTGTTTCGAATTGGAAAGTTGAAGGACGTGATAGACTACGAATTACTCCGAGGTATTTGCGTGGGTACACTGGTCTCAGAGATTGTATCATAATTACTGGAAGAGAAATCAAAATATCGTCTCTAATGTAAATTAAACAATTATTCATTAGTAATTTTAGTTACAACAATCGCTTCCCCGAGCTATTATTGCGTCATACCTCGTGCTAAGAATTTTTAATATTTCCTCTTTCCTGTCTGACTAAGAATTGGCGAACATTCACTTGTCTATATTTACATTACATTAACTTATGTATCTATACTTTTGGAATTCCACTTCATTATACATGGAACTTTTTCCTCAAATTCCTTTTAATCCTGTTTATTCTTTTAATTCTCTGATTGTACCAAACATGACGTAAAGTTTCAAATCGTGGCAAGAACATTTAGTAAATAGTAGAATCCATAGAAGAAAATAATGCGAATTAAGTATTTCGTAACCATTCCCTCCGTTAACTATCGCTCTTGAGATTTTCGTCACGTTCAGCCTCGTGACGTAACGTGGCCGAACTTGGTAGCGAAAAAGGCTCCGTTGTCGACGAAATCGTGCGATCAAAATCTGTGAACTGTAAAACGAAATGTCCAAGAATACGAAAGTAATTTGAGAAGCAAAGAAACTCTTTGAGTAAAACGGACGTAATAAAAAAACTGAATATACTGCAAGCTTTATCTAACGAAAATTCTGGGAGTACGAGGTCAATTCCAGGTATCTACCTGTGGCCTATTAAAAAGATTCCCTTTGATTTAGAACGTTCTGCTGTGATATATAGACTTCCAATAGAATGCTAGTAATTTTCAAAGAAATCTTGGGACATCGAATACTTCCGAACTTAAATTCCAATCGTCTTCCAATGGTCGATAGTTTTAGTTTTAATATAGAATTCTTATAATTGATCAACCGTTTAAACTAGACATTCTTTAACTCACCCAAAAATTGTTTAGCTGAATTCCACATTCACGAAACTAAAGAATTATCAGAATTTAATTCTGATTTAGAATGATATAAACCCAGCAACGACTCAGACTAACAAATCATTTGTTTCTCTTCCCAGGTATGTGTAAAATTCCTCGAGATCTCGGACAACTGGAGCGGCGTGATCCGTTTCGGTTTCACCAGCAACGATCCGATCAATCTACGAAATGGCCTGCCGAGGTACGCGTGTCCAGACCTGACGAACAAACCCGGTTACTGGGCGAAGGCCATGGCCGAAAGGTTCGCCGCGAGGGACTCGGTGCTCTTCTATTACGTCACGTCCGCCGGCGACGTGCACTTCGGCGTGAACGGGGAGGAGAAGGGCGTCTTCTTCAACGGCGTCGAAACGCGAGGCCCGTTGTGGGCGCTGATCGACGTTTACGGGAACAGCACCGCGATCGAGTTCGTCGATCCAAATAGGCAACACTTCAATAACATCAGGAGAGGCGCCGAACACAGCAACGAGGACAATGCGCAGCACAGCAGGCACTCGGCGATGGACGACGCGAGCAACGCGAGCAGAGACGTCGAGAGGATCATCGTGCCGACCATGCAGAACATGGCGATCCATCACGAGCCCGACGTCGAGCTGCCCGGGCTCAGGTTTCAGCCCCCCGGTGTCATCTTCACACCATTACCCTTCCACTCGTGAGTATCCTACCTTTGTTTCACAATCGACGAGATACACTTTGATCGAAAGCGAGATTCAGACGTACCAATTAAACTTATAAATACACATTGCATTTGACGATATTTTAATTCGCTTTTCCGTTTTGCAATTTTACAGAACCCGCGGTAGGAACATACGTTTCAGCAACCAGCAATGCGTGGCGACGCGGATCGACACGGAATTCTGTCACGGATACTCGTTTACAAGTAGACCGCTGGTACTGGGCGAACGGCTGGTTGTACAAATTCTAGCTACGGAGCCGATATACGTCGGCGCCCTGGCGTTAGGTTTGACCTCTTGCGAGCCAGACCGAATCACTGCCGACGATCTGCCGAACGACAGTGACCTCCTATTAGATCGCCCGGAATATTGGGTAGTCTTCAAAGACGTGGCGTCCAATCCTCAACCCGGTGACGAGATAGCCTTCACGGTGACTCACTTCGGGGAAGTTCAAATGAGCGAGAACGGTGGACCACCGAACGTTGTGATGCACGTGGACCAGAGCCTCCAATTGTGGGCGTTCTTCGACGTTTACGGTAGCACGCAACGGATCAGGATACTCACCGAGAAACCGACGTCACCCCCGCGAACCCGTCAGAGCAATCCCTCTCCAGCGAACATGTTGCAACAGCAACAACAGCAGCAACAGCAGCAGCACTGCAATCACAGTAACGCTGCCACTGAACTGTCCAGATTTTCGGAAATGGTACAATTCAAACCGGCCATCGGCGGAGGCACCGTGCTGGTAGTGAATCTCCCGCCTCAGACAAGCTTCGTCACACCGTCCTCATCCACGCCTCAACCCACTTACGCTTCCGCCGGGCACAGAAGTCAACATACGCATTTACCAGCGGTCGCCGCGGCGTCCACGGCATCCACGTCAAATCCGGGGTCCTCGAGACAATCCTCGCCGCCTTTGACGGGCACCATGGCCAGTACGGGATCGTCTACGTACGTGGAACCGGTGAATTACCAGAGTCTCGACGGCACTCTCACCTCGCAAGCGTCCTCTCATCTCCAACAATGGAGCGAGGGCCTTCAACCGACGCCCGGACAGCCGAACGAGTGCTCGGTCTGCTACGAGAGAAGCATCGACAGCGTGTTGTACATGTGCGGTCACATGTGTATGTGCTACTCGTGCGCTATTCAACAGTGGCGCGGGAAAGGTGGCGGCCACTGTCCGCTTTGTCGGGCGACCATCAGGGACGTGATTCGTATCTACAGATCCTGAACAATGGCGCAACCACACCGCAGAAGAAACGGTTCCAGGATCTGATGTCGATTCGCATCGGGTTCGTCTCCTCGGAACAGGCGTAATCACGCCCTCTCCGTTGACTGATGGATCCTCTTGGTGTTCTCGTTCTCAATGAAACTATGCTCAGGATAAAATTAGATCTTCGACAAGGGCTCGACTTTCCTCTGCTTCGGTTTAAATATCGCGGGTCGTTTCGGAGTGCTCGGTACTTCGAAATCTGACGAAGAAGATGAGAGAGTCCAAAGATGCGCAGCGTTCAAGATGTGAAGAGGATCGAACCGATTTAACTACGAGGCGGGAATACAAGGAATTATGTTTACGTGTCGGAGAGAGGAGGGTCCCGGTTCATCGGCAGGTTCTCTGTCCTCGTCAAGTGAGATTCTGTGTCGCTGGACTGTACGTCGATTTCGGACGAGTGACGTAAAGATTCTGTGTTATACGTCTTCGAGATCGGCGCGGGAAACGAGTGAGTGATATCGAATGCAAGGTAAACAAGAAGAAAAGAATGGGACAAGTGGAGGAAAAAAAAACACAAAGAAAGAAAGAGAGTAATATTGATCTTAGATATTTTCACAACCGACTTTATATATAAATATATTATCGCTACCGTTATTATCATACTGCAGCTACTATTCTCAGCCTTTAGTTTGTTATCATTATTTGTACGATTTAGTAATACAGTTCATGATTTTACACGGTAACAGTTATTCTTGTACGAAGCAAAAGTGAGAGAGTGAAAGAGAGACATAGCGAGAAAGGGAGCGAATGAGAATGAGTACACATTATTTTTTATCTTTAAGGACAGGCCAGATCGTCGTCTCGATCGCGATGCGATCGAGAGCGCGTGATTTTTGTTTTTTTTTTTTTTATTTAATGACTAAAAGAAATACGCTCGTGTGATTACGTAGAAAAGCGAATCTTTGTTAAGCAGCGTACACCTACGTAGGTTTAAGTTCACATCGCTTATACACCCTCTCCCGGGTTTCTATTCTTATTTTTTTTTTTTTTTTACTCCTTCGCATTCTAATTTGCTCTCGCAGAGTAGGAACAACCGCGTCTTCGAGCTTCCTCGTTTGTTACTTTTGACAATAAACGCTTGGATACGTGTGCACAACTTAAGGACGTCGTTAGACAAAAGGAAGAAGTGAAACGGTTCGAGCGACCATAACTGTGGCGCGTGTGTAAACCGATTTTTCTATGTAGTACACGTGACGCCGTACATATTACCAAAGAGATAACGCCGTACATACCGATTCCTCCCCCGCTCCGTGTACGTTACCGAAACGTGCTCGCACACACTCCTCCGTACAGCCAGCCTTACAAAACGATTTTTTATACGTTTTAGAACTTAACGTTACCGTTTTCTACCGAGATTTACGCGACCCACAAAATGCTACACGAACAGAAAATGTTAGGCTCGTCCCTGGCAGTTGCAGTACGTAGACCACAATTATGCAAGAGCAACTGATTCATTTCTGATCAAATAATTTTCGCTAAATTCCAAAAGAATGAAATTCACGTCCTGAAGCTTCGTGCGTTTGAAACGAAGGCGATAAAAGCTCAGAGATTGTAATTTATCGCGTAGGATCGGTCCAGCGAGACGCTAAACATATTTTTAACCACAACAGACCTCCGCGTTGTATTCCTAACTTGGTCGAGCGACAAAAGTACAAGCGAAGTTACTATACTACAACTAGATTGCGTAGCGTTTTTAAGGGACGATGTTTAGAGGCTTTTATTCAGTGTTGATGACTAAAATGGAATTATTTGAGAAGCCCGACAGCGCCAGGCAGAAATTCTCCGGCCGCCTCTCGGGTTTCTCATTTTGTTATGAACTAAAAGCGATTTATAGAATCTCGTAGCGTCTCGCCCGACCGCTCCACCGACGATCTAACATTGAAAATTGTTCTGCCGCTGCGAGTCTGTCCGGGGACGAGTTATGACACTGCCTCCACCAGGTTCGCGTTTCTTTTGTTACGCGAACGAGAGAATCGAGCCGGTCGATCGTGGAACGACATCTGAGAGACGATCTCGTTGCAAGGTCGATCGGTTGCGCGAGGGTCACCGATCCTCCCCGCATGTGATCGCCTTATTTTCGTACAGCAGCGAGTCGCGCCGATGTTTCGCTTCTCCATCTCGGTCCTCGGACGCGAATTGAAAAAATGAAGAAACGAATCACGGAATCCTGGCGACGACGAGAGACGAGCTTCCTCGAGGCCGTGCCTTATAGACATTTTACCGAACATCTCGCATCGTCTATCGCTCGCCTATTGAGCTTACTCCTATTATCGATCGACAGAGATCGTCCTGACGGAAAGTTCGTCTCCCGATCGTTCGTCTTTCGGTGATCGACGATCCACGCCTTCGAGTCCTGCTCATTGTTTTAGAGTTGTTTGTGAGATCAAGGGAACGAGTAGAATGATGTGTTTACTTGTCAGAGAAGTCGAATTATCTCCTTGCGCTGCGTTTTCAAGAATCGTTAGACTTAAACATATGAAAAGAAACGCGATTAATTATCTTTAAATCGTAAATGAATCGACTTTTCTTTTAAATACATTGCTTGTATCGCTAAGCCAGTTTCCAAATTCTCTTTAAAATGTTTCGCATATACGATAGATGCGTTGTTAGGCACGATCGACACGATCGTCTATCGAATTTTCTAATTAAAAAACATATCGTGATAGCTCGTTCATTATCTTTCACAACGTGGTATTAAGAAAAATAAAAGCCGAGCACGTCTTCCCCGACAAACAATTTAATCCGTGGGCAGAAATTATTCGTCCGGGGAAGGTTTGCTCGCGTTACGTTAAAAATAAAACAAATTGAGGGGAGACATTCGTTGGAGATACAAAGCAGAGATGATGCGAGAAGGCAAAGAGAGAGAGAGAGAGAGAGGAAAATAAAAAATGATCGGGTTTGCGGTTCCTAGCCGTTCCCGGAGATGCGAGAGCAAAAGGAGAAACAGAGAAAGGAGGGAAAAGAGAGAGACAAATAGAGTGAAAGAGGAAAATTGTCATCGAACAACGGATGCGCAATAAAGCAGTAGTGAAATCTCTAGTCCAGCGAGCGGCAGCTTTAAACTCGCCTGCCAATCCAAAAAAGAAATCATGAGATGATGATGATGATGATGATGATGATGGTGGTAATAATGATGAGTGGACAGTGATGAATATTGAAAGATCGGAAAACGGTCTTTAAAAAAAGAAAGAAAAACGGTCGAGTATGAGAGGTATGAAGAGAGAGGAGCAAGGAAAGAGTGTATGGAAGGTTTCGTAGCGCGCTTGTATTTGTGTATGTGAGTGAACAGAAATTTTATAAAAATATAATGTTTTAAAAATGAAAGAAATTGCTAATTATCGCGCGTGTCCCAAACGCATACATACGCAGGTATATTGTTCGGAAGAAGTCATGCGACGCGCGCAATCGAGAATCTTTTTATTAGGATATTCTCTATTTACAATATACATAGAATTTATAATAGACATTTAATCGCGTCTTCTCGATTTCGACGAGAGGCGTGAACGGCGGTAATCGTCGTTGACTCCGCGTTCAATCCGCTCTTCCTGTTTCGCGTTACTGCCAGAAATTTATGAAAGGGGAGACTAAACTGAAGAAGGTGAAAAGGGATAAATTTAGGAGAATAGTTCCGCGAGCGTGAACGTGAAACTCCATTTTTCAAGAACGAATATAATAGACGAAATATTAATATATGCATATACGTAATATATTTGATTATTATCCTAAAGGATCGAATGCAAAGCCGCTCTCGTTGATGTCACTGGGTCATTGTCGTCGTGTGAACGTTTATTACCGGAGAATTGTATATCGACTTGCCGATCGGATCGGTCGAGTCTTTTACATGTGTCATGATCGTCGTAACTCGTTAATCACATGGACATACGTTTTTTTTTTTAATTCTTTTATATGACAAGCTCAATAAAACAGGGACGCGAGAATAATGGCCGTTTTTTTTTTAACTACGTGAACGCACATTTCGTTTTCATTTTTATATGACAAACTCGATCAGTGAATTAAGATTTCCTTTTTCGATTGTCACGCGAGAATATCGTTCCAGGTCTTCTATATTTTTATCATTCTTTTTATATTATCACTGATATTAATATTATTGTAATTATAGTTATTATTATCATCGTGAGTTTGTTTTGTAACACTCGGCGGAACGTGGATAAAAAAAGGGAAGAATTCAATTTGTTGCGTATTTTCTACGATTAGAGATGTCGGAGTCTTCATATGTCACGGGACCGAGTGTGTTTTCAGTTTCGTCGCGGTTTGAGAAATAGTACTATTGATTAAAAAGCAGAAAAGAAATTGAAAAGGTGTCACCCTGTCCCTCCCCTCGAGAATTGAAAGACGATTCTATGTGCGATAAGAGTTCTCTTTGTAACTGTAAAGCTGCCGATTACGAATTTATACATATGTAATATAATTCGTGTAGCCGCGTGCTGACCCTACACAATAAAAAGCCTGTAATATCTATGAACAGTCATCTTTTCATCCTCATTCCCCCTTCGATCGTCGAATCGTTATAAAAGTTCCCCCGCTGAAACCCTCGATCAAATCCGGGAAGACAGGAATTAAAAACAGTAAACTTTTATTTACAATATAAAAGTTTACAAATATGGATATACAAATATACATCATTACAAAATTAAAACTACCTATTAAAACAATGTACAGATCAGGTACAAACAAAATTCACAAAAACAATGTATACTTTGTACAAAATAGATGAATTTGTCCGTTCCCCTAAAAAGTTCCCGTGACGGGGCCGAGTACCGTCACAGGAAATTGGTGTTCGGTTAATTTTCATCTTCACCCTCGCCTGCGTCCGTCGAGTCCATACCAACTTCTTCGTAATCTTTCTCCAACGCTGCGAGATCCTCTCTGGCTTCGTTAAATTCACTCTCGTCCATACTCTCCGCCACGTACCTATATTTTTAGAGACACGGTTTCTTCTAATTCTAACAATTTCTAAAAGCTGTTCATATTTTTCATTGCCGACGACTAACCAGTGAACAAATGCCCTCTTTCCATACATCAGATCGAATTTTCTGTTCAGTCTCGTCCACGCTTCGGCGATAGCAGTTGTGTTCGCCAGCATAGCCATGGCGCGTTGCACTTTGGCAAGGTCACCGCCGGGTACCACTGTCGGTGGTTGGTAATTGATACCCACCTGTTAACAGTAATTAAGATATCGATTAAGTTTAAAATATTACATCATCGATATGAAAATTACTTTAAATCCGGTGGGGCACCAATCGACGAACTGTATAGCCCTCTTCGTCTTGATGCTAGCAATCGACGCGTTCACATCTTTGGGTACTACGTCGCCTCTGTATAACATGCAGCAAGCCATGTACTTGCCCCTCTGAGGATTGCATTTGACCATTTGCATCGCCGGTTCGAAGCAGGATGACGTTAATTCCATCACGGTCAGTTGTTCGTGATAGGCTTTCTCGATGGAAACGATGGGTGCATATGTGACCAGAGGGAAGTGAATCCTTGGATAGGGAACTAGATTCGTCTGGAACTCCGTCAGGTCGACGTTCAACGCTCCGTCGAACCTCAACGAGGCTGTTATAGAAGACACTATTTGACCGATTAATCTGTTTAAATTGGTGTACGTCGGCCTTTCGATGTCCAAGTTTCTCCTGCAGATATCGTAAATCGCCTCGTTGTCAACGAGGAACGCACAATCTGAATGTTCCAGTGTCGTATGCGTAGTCAAAATCGCATTATAGGGTTCCACCACCGCGGTGGAAATTTGTGGTGAAGGATAAATCGCGAATTCCAGCTTAGCCTTCTTGCCGTAGTCCATGGACAGTCGTTCCATCAGTAGACTGGTGAACCCTGAACCGGTGCCACCACCGAACGCGTGGAAGATCAGGAAGCCTTGGAGGCCGCAGCACTGATCTGCGATTTTTCGAATTCTGTCGAGCACCAATTCGATTATTTCTTTTCCCAGCGTGTAATGACCTCGCGCGTAGTTGTTCGCCGCATCTTCTTTGCCGGAAATTAATTGCTCGGGGTGAAACAGTTGGTGGTAAGTTCCTGTTCGAACTTCGTCTGAAATTAAAAAACATTCGTGGGGTTTATGGAAATTTTTTATATCGATAGTCATTTCGTCTTCATAATTCTTCTCCTTTAATCTCGTTAAGGAATGAATGAGTTAGAGGTTTATAGAACTTCATAATTTCAATTTACCTATGACTGTGGGCTCGAGATCCAGGAGTACCGCACGCGGAACGTATTTTCCGCCGCCTGTTTCACTGAAGAAAGTTTGAAAGCCATCGTCGTTCGTACAACAGGAAGGCGGAAGCATGCCATCGGGTTGTATCCCATGTTCTAGGCAATACAATTCCCAACAGGCATTGCCCATTTGTACGCCGCCTTGGCCGATATGGACAGACAGTACTTCACGCTTGAAAATTTAATAAAGCCTTATTTCATCTCTTGATCGACACTGATCGATCTTCTTGCATAATTTTAGATTCTTCCGTTACAATTTATAATTGACGCTTGCAACGAAGCTTGCAATTGACTGCAGGGATTAGGAATTAAAGGAATATTCAAGGAATAATTACCATTTTGGCGAATTTCTGATATTTCGGTAGGGAAGGAAGGTGAGATGAATGCTTCTAGGATGAACGTCCAGATTCAACTGAATAAACGTTGCGTTCTGTTACAAAATTTTGTTTTCGTTGCTAAGGAACAATATTTCTTATAATAAAATACTCAGTGTCCCAATTGAAAATGATCGAAGGTCCAGGGTACGATAATAATAAAACACATTTCTTTTTAAAATTGTACACATATTATTTGCTTTCAACTTTGCAGTCATACATCGAATATAACATAAATAATTTACATACACGTGTCTAAAATATTTTAAGTTCTTCAAATTTATTGCAATTACTGCATTTTTTAGTATTTCATTCCTGTCTTCTGTATCGCAGCCCTAACTTATAGTCAGATACATTGTAATATGTTTGAAGAAACATAACAGTGGGTATAATTAAATGCTTCACCTTCGAAGTGGTTTTTACAAAAATGAATATCTGTTTTAAGCGAATTAATTTGTATACAAAATTTGTTAAATCGTTTGCAATCATCGTACATTAGTACTATTGTAAGATTTCATACTATATTAGCTGCTATTCTTAAGTAAAATATAAATTTAATGGGGAGGGTGCAATCACCCCTGTTCAGGTGACATTTTTTGAAGGGTAACATGCGGACGAGGTGGCCGAGAGGTTAAGGCGTTGGACTGCTAATCCAATGTGCTCTGCACGCGTGGGTTCGAATCCCATCCTCGTCGTACAATTTTTGTTTTTTCATTTAATTGACTCCTAATTGTTATACGAATCACTTAAAAACCGAAAGGACTAGCATTTTGTAGAGTTTTCGTTATAAGAATTCCGATTTTTGAAGAAGAAATAAAAGTACGATTTAAAAAGTAGTTCCGTTTGGTTCCTTTCTAACGATAGTTAACTCAAGTTGCGGATGTTAAACAAAATGACGTCGAGGATAGTAAATATTACGTGAGTTCTTAAAATAGAAATGAGTAAATGGAGACTGTTAGATAGTGGGATTAGTTTTTATTTTCAGAATAAGGTAGTAGCAAAATAGGTTGCATGCAAATCGAGACTATAAAAAGTAATAAATTAATTATAATATAAAATCAACTTGTATGCTTCTACAAGAGCGCTCTTGTCTCGNTGATTTATCAACTGACCCATCATAAAAAAGTTTCCTGGTAGATTCTTCTCGCTTAAGTTATTGTACGTTAAGTCGAGAACTTCTAATACCGGAAATGCACCGAATCCACGCGGAAGTACGTCCAGTCTGTTCATTCTGTAAACTCGTTCAAATGAGTTTAAACGAATTAATACTAACGAGTAATGCCTTGCTAAGAAACTCACCCTACGTTAAGGATTCGTAACTTCGGCATTTGCGATAACGAGATTGGAAGTTCGGTAATGTGGTTATTAAAGAGATTCAATATCTCCAGATTAACTAAGTTTGCAAGTCCCGGTGGCACGGCTACAGAAATATAATTTAAGTAAGTAAGTAAATTTCATTAGCGATTCGTGTAAAGATCTTTTTACGAGTACCTTGGAGCTTGTTATGACTCAAAGTTAATCGGGTGATGTTGATCATGTTCACTGAAAAGAAAACGAAATTAGATCGTTGCTTGAACAGTTTGCATTCTGAAGATCCAGTTCCAAAATATCATCGAGTTATAAATAAAATATGGAGAGGTAACAAATAATTGTGAATACTTAAGCACTAATTATAGAGAGTAAACTAATTTTTCAAATTATATTAATACTTTTCTTTACATTATTGCTTGTTTTCTGTAATTCTCGTACATTTTGAATATGAGTTGATTCTTATAGAATTCATTCAGCGATAGTTTTATATTATTATTTTCTTATGCTGGATTTAAGATTTTTATGTAAGACTGCATTGATTCAAGAGACTTAATCTCGTCATTCGGGATTTATTAACTTTACAGCCAGCAGAAGATGAGCGATATTTTAAGATATTTCCGCGGATCGTTTGAACAGTTTCGCACGCACGCGCAGCCACGCCTACGACGTGGGTGACCGACAAATGGCCACCTTGGATTTCCGCTCGCTCCGAAGAACCAGTCAAGACAAGTTGCCTAATTTGGCGAATGGAACGGGGCCCACGAGGCGTACGTAGGACTCACGTAATCCGGGCATCTCCTCGAACGTTGAGATCCCCTTGTCCGCGAGATCCAGCTCCGGGTTCTGGATTTCGCGGGCTTCGTCGATCACCTTCTTCGCCTTTGACATCTTCCCGGCTGGGATACACGACACTGGTGCCTGATTCATTGCGCGCGCAATTCTATGTACATACACGTCAGTATACTCGGAATAAACATGCGCGCAGTAGATACCCCTGCTCCTGCTCTGGCTCGACGCACGACTCTACTGATTCCATCTTCGTGCTTCCCGCACGCAGGCCAGCGAGATCATAGATCACGGGTAGATCGTGATCACGCGTCTCCATTTTGAATCAGCATATACCGACTGAGAGTAATTCCGTTCGCCCCTACTTTTACGACCGCGGAGATTTCTCCTCCGTGCTTTTACCATACACGAGTAACATGAATGGCACAGTAGTCTTACCACCGAGGAGAGATGCCGGTGCCGATGTTTTTTCCCAGCACGATTAGTTAGATTAGATAAAGCAGAATATGTTAAAAGTACTAAAGTAATAGATGAAGAAAGAAAGACAAGGATCAGGACTGTAATTAGTCACAACAGAGACAGAAACATACGAAACAACAATGTTCGATACTTACTCTTAATTATGGAATCAATCCAACGAGGAAACGTATTTGTGTAAACGACACTGCCTATATACATAATAATGTAACGTCGAGCAAAACGTGTAGCTAATTAAGGAAGATAAAAAGGCGGTTTATGTAATTGCGCTTCGTAATTACCGGTATCGGGAGGGACGATGCGATAGCCTCTTCGGCCGTCGATTTCAGTAATGTTAAGAATTTTTGCCCGGTTGCATTTGCGGTTGAAATCGGAGCGGCTCGCATTCCAAGATGGGTTTCAATGGAACACCGATGTGTGATCAGTAATATTAATGATAATAAGAACAGCAGAGAAAAAGAAGAGATTTTAATTTGCGGCTCTTAAAAGGAAATGAGATCAAGGACCGCAGACACGCACCTTCCGGCTGTTGATTGACACCGATTTATTTTGCTCGATGTCCCTGTTGTCTTAAGTTATATCTTCTTTTACTAACTCCACGATACAATGGAAGAATTATAAATAAAACAGAAAGGAAGTAAGAAAATGATTAAAAGGATCGCTAAACGTTTATCTAATAGCAATACCTGATAAACACTGAATGAATAATACGTAGTCGCTATTTTAAAATATTAAAACATAAGTTTACAAATGATAAATCGTAATTCAAACGTAATACACGAATACACCGCGGGCAATAATTTAATCAGCAGTACGAGTTTAATCACCGCACCGGGAATAAAACCAGATGTCTGATTTATAGCTAGGCAGAATAATATTTCTAACATATTTAATCTTAATACTCCTGTCATACTTTCATCCAGCATCGCAGCAAAATGAACATAACAGTAATTCAACGCGCACGCAAATGAAGAGTAAATATCGAAGCCCAGTGACATCGTTTCCAACGTATTTTCTGGTTACGACCTCGTTTAAGGATCAAACGGAGCATTTCGACGTTAATATAGATACGTACGACCACGTCTGGCATTGTGTCAACCTTGTTTCCTGCGGAGTACGATTCCCCGTTTTAAATCAACCGCGACTGATAAAACCGCAGCCTCATCCGTTCTATCGCGGATCAAACGGCGTCACGATGCGAGTCTAACAATGCCGACATTAATCATATAGAAGCATCAGCTGTAATACTTAACAACGAGAAAATTAATCAAATTGCCCTTGATAACCTCGGATAATCGACGTTGCACACCGGACGGTACGTCGATTACGATCGATCCTCCCCGGTATAAATCCTAGACGCTTCTTACCTGCCGAAGGAGGATTTCTGGCTCAGAAGAATCGCGGATCTCCATCGATGCATTGGCACAGCCGTTTTGTTCGCTGCACGCGGAATCGGACTTAAAGTGAACTCGTGCTCATAAGTACGAGAACGTTATTATTACCAGGCGTCGAAGAAAACGCGCATCGACTCAATTGAGAAATTTATTAATTGACGAGGAATAGGAATACACGTTTCGTTGACATTCCGTAATTGAATTTGAGTCGATGCCCCGGCTGTTTTCACAGCTGCCTCCCGTTAACTGTCCTCGTACTTATGACCGAGAGTGTACTTGTGTAATACATACGTACCAAGTACGAGCAAAGCGTGGCGCCAAAGAGTACCCGAGGGCTCAGGCAAGGTTAGCGACCTTGGCGTACACGATAAAGGACGGAGCTAGTCGAGGGGCGCCCCTCGCGCATCCATCATTGCTATCCAGCAATCAGTGCCAAGAAACATTATCGGTCAATTTACCGTCGCCGTGACCGGTCTCGCCATAACGCCGATAAAAAAAAAGGAAATACCGTGAAAAACGTTCGGATCGCGCAATCGCACGTCGCCGCGTTTCTTTCGCTCGTACGTACGCACCTGTGCTTAATCATAACAATTACCTCGCAGCTAGCGAGGGTGAGAGGAGTGGTACGTTAATAAATTATGTCCATTGATTTCCCTCGAGTCATTAAATCTTGAGGAAATCCCCCCACCGCTGGAACAACGTACGCCCAGAGATCTGACGCGAGTAATCCTACCACAATCACTATAGACGCTTCAATGAAATTTAAAAAAATCGTAATCAATAATGAAATAAAACGTTCAAAAATATATCTTCGATTTTCATCAATCATGTATCACGAAACACAACAAGCAGTTGAGAACTGAGAAACGATTATAAATTCATACCTAAGACGACTGCTTGAAATAGAACAGAGAATATCCACCAATTGTACGATTTCGATCGTGAGATAAATACAGCAATTACTGTATCGCTTGCACAGGTACGAATATATTGACACATGAAACTTTGTACATCGAGATCTACGAGCGTCAATTAGGTAGATTCTTATCAAAGCCGCGTGCACGAAAGCTCCGAGCTGTCGTGCGACTCAATGTGCGTACAAAGAGAGGACACGCACTCTCTTTACGAGCGAAACACGAACGACGATATAAACGAGACGTAAAGGTCTTTTGAATGAAAAGAAGGGGGCGAGCATACGTACGTAGATACGTACGGGCGCGCATTATAATCTTGTATCGAATAATGCCGTTTGTTCGCCGGTGCCGCGCGCGTTTCACGATCACCGCATCGCGCGTCGCGTCGGCCGTGCCCGAGCGACATATAAATTACACACACGCATCGCGTTTATAACTTATACGATCGCGGGTGGAAGTTATAAGGCGTCGCGCGATCTATGATTTATGGCTGCCGCGATGATAATTTATAAGTAACAACTGCCGAAGTTACGACGCCTGAGGTGTACGCCGGGGACGACGGATGCGAATCGAACGTAAATTTCGCGCCCGGGGCTGCATGACGACGTTTAAGAGTGGATATCTCCCGCGAGGGGTCGTTTACCAGTCGGTTAACATCCCAAGTCAATTCATTTCTTACAATGTCTTTGATTTATTTAGGACCGATGAGTCGGCGAACCTCCCTTTAACGAACTATAAAAGAGACCTTTATATTACGCACGATGAATCCATAAGTGTCTCTTTTAGAAAATATCTGTACTTCGTTGCGAGATAATATCTACGTTGATAAGCAAAGGATAAAAGGTTGCAATCTAATAAATTATCAATCACAGATGAGACAACGAAACGGTTCGAGATTGTCGATAAAAATCGAGTGGTACATCGCGTTAGGAGTCGTGACCGGAAACGCGAGTAGGTTTCTTCACTTTTACACACGGTTACCCACGCTCGTGCATAAATCTCGGTGGTGCGTTCCTCGTCGAAGGCAGTCGCACGTGCGTTCGCACGCGCGTACGCGCGAGGGAAGAGACCCCCGCGGATGCCGACGAGGATACCGTGAGTATGCAGAGAGAAAGACGGTTTCGGTTTTGGGTAGGCGGAGAGGAAAAGAGGAATAGGCGCGTGTGTGCGTACGGTGCCCACGTAGAATATCCAGTGTAACATGTAAAAGCCCGTTATGCGCCTGGGAGTACGCGGTGCTCGCATGGTGCACGTATATGCATTAGTATGGCGTGTGCTATAAATAGATGTAGCAAACCGCGGAGGGATCCTAGCCACCCCAATACCCTTCCCTTCGCCGCTCCCTCGTGTATCAGAATGCGCTCGGCAGTCGCGAACTTCTCTGCTCGAGTTTCTGCAAAAAGAGACGTTTTCGTTTTGCAAAATCGGTTTCATCGATCCTGTTTATAGTGGAATCGATTCGAGAGTAAAAAAATCGATCCTCGTCGCTTCCTTAGTTTCAATATTGAAAATAGAATTTAAAAACATGTTCGTATCTTGGAATCCATGCTATCCTATGCTATTTTCAAGAAATCCGGATTGGAAAACGAGGCGGACTAGTTAATAAGCCGTCGATACGACACCGGTGTACAATTTAAAAGACCATTTTCACGGCGCCGTTATGAGATACCGGTATACCAGTCGATCCGAGTACGACGGAGCAGCTTCTGTTTTCGGCAATGAGGATGTCAGACAAGTTACGACACGGCGAGCAGGTGTTGATACCGGGCAGCCAGTCCGGGTGGACCCGATTATTTATTTCCTTTTTTCCCTTTCTCATCTTTCTCATACCTTTTCTCCAATATTAATTTCCCTTTGATTTCGGTCGTGACCGTTTAACCTTTGTCGCCTGTCCTGGCTTTTCATCGAGTTCCAGACTTCAATTACCTTGTCGTCAGGGCGACTGCAGTGGAAGGGGCGCGTGGCAAGGGTGGTTAGAGTTAATTAAAGGCCCTTTGATCTGACCCCCGGACCGATGCAAGCAATTTTCGAGATAAAGGGAATTGAATATTGTCTGAGAACCGGCATTGGTACATTCCCCTTTGTGTCGGAAAATAAGAATTGCCGCGAGACGGGAAACGACACTAGAAACGACTAACGAAGAGGAAGTGACGGTCGTCAGAAAAATATGAATCGCATTAGGTAATCCGATTAACCACTATCCGCGACAAGATCAATGTTTCGTCCGACGCGTAAATTAACAGTTCTAGATTCATGATTCGCATCGAGCCACCTGTAATTTGCGCGTAATGCTATACATTAACACTTTAACATACAATGCAATCGAACGTGCTGGCGTCTGGCGTTCACGGACGGTGCGCTGCAGCGGCGTGTCTTGCTATTGGCAATACGGCATACATTTCTGTCAGCGTGTTTCTTCCACGCTTGACGGCAGAGTTTTTCATTATGAAACGGGCGTATATCTCTCGACGCGGCGGCGGCGGCGGCGGCGGTGGCGTCTCGTTCGATTCTAC